TCTGCGTACTTTTCCATTTTAAGGAAAACTTTTCCCATGCCACCCCTTGTGAGTCAGCGATAGGTTGGTGTGACCTGTGTGATGCATATGATGCTGGCTTCGTCGAATACTCATGCCAAATCATTAAGAAACATAAAGTGTCGGCGATTGGAGACCAGCATAGTAAACGACGTGGCATGGAACCGGGTAACATCACGCGAAGTTTTAACATTTTAAGAAAGTGCGATAACAAACTTGACTGTCTTATTTTTGAAATGCTTTTTAACCACCGCTAAACAAACAGTGTGGCTCAAGCACCGGGAAATTATTTTTTACTATTCTTGTACCTTATAAATATTTTGATTAGTTGTAATTATGCAATTTTAACACACCTTAATGCTTTTTGTATTCACATCCGTTTTTAATACCATTATATTTACACGACAGTTTTTCATAAAAATAACTTGTCATACTTTAATAGACCCTGATAAAGGAAAACGGAGAGGTCGAAACGTCTTTCTATTCATCGCCAGTTTTTATTGTGTATGAACAAGAATATGTCTTTTTCTTACTAAGGAACTCGTTATACCCGAATATTTGCATTGGAAACAGTGAAGGAAGCTGGTGGTTACAACTCTTCGGGCCGGTTATTTAAACAATGTTTAGCTGAGGTTTAACAAAACCGCGTTCTAAACTATCTTGAATTAAGCTGAATCTTTTATCTGAACATTCGATTTGTGACCAGCGTCGAGAGGGCCGAAAGGTAACAGTGAAGAGCATCTATTTCTTAAAACAACCCTCCTGAGGCCCTCTGATTGCGTAAAACAGCGGTTTGGGTCAAACCTCGTGTAAATAACCGGCCCCTTGTGTTTCTCTTTACTTCTGTAACAGATTGAAAATAATACCACTATGCACTATGTACTTCAACTAGAATCTATTTTCTCTTCATCCGTTTGGTAAGTTTCGCATTTTTCCTCTATAATTCATAATAACCAAAGTCTCTACAACTACTTTTTTTAATTAGATGATATAACCTGACGAACCAACTCTATTGTCTCAATTGGAGGTTTTAATTCGCCGATCAGGACTGACGGAGAAATCGAAGGGATAGACAACGGCTAAGATAGCAGTCTTTCGTGCTTTCCCCATCGGGTGTATGAAAACACCGGTTACAATGATAATGATTATAATGATTCGATATGTAAAATTATGGCGTGCTTGTTTTTACTTTTCCTTAAGTATTGGCTCGGGAAAAGTGGGTAAGAACCGGAAAGAAGTAAATGCAATCCCGAGAAAGCGAAATAGACCAAATAGATCAGGCCCCGGCTGTTCGAAGGTCGGATAACGCTATCCACAGGATAAATCTCGATCCGGTGGATGACGCCATACGTTTTGCTATCACTTATCCACTGGATGGCGATTTATCCGTCGGATAGCTTTATCCGCCCTTTATAAAACTGGGCCCAGTAAGCCTCTCTGCTCAGCTGAAGCTTAATCTTAATCTTACTTTTAAGCTCCAACTTATCTGGCGAACGCAAAACAGGGTTAAAATCGTCAAAGAAACGTCACGAATTCTCATGGGTAACGGATTCTTCAGCCGGTGTACTTTGCTGCCATGGATACGACTGTCCTGGAGGTGGAAACTGTGGAATCTGTTCCTTACTAGGGTAGGGTGGTGGCGATTCTAATGGGTATGGGTAATCTGGGGGTGGCATATCTGCGTTTGTTGAAACTGGAGCGTAACTTACTTGAGGGGTTGTGGTGTCAACTGGTTGAGACCGAGTACGGCGTGATACTGGAGCCATTGCAATTCTCTCCGCTGCCTCTCTGTTTCGCTTTCTACTTCGTTTAGCCAAGCAAACGAAAAGGGAAATCAGTGCAACAAACACTATTAAAGTTACAATAATGGCTGTCATCAAAGCAGAAGACTCTAAAGAGAAAGAGAGAGACAAAAGTCAAACAAGCAGAGTTATCTGAAGCTAGGGATCGTTTCCACGAGGCTTTGCAAAGATAGTCGTGTTGATGGTGCATGGGATGTACTACAAAAAATTCAACCTCTAATTTTTAAAACAAAGGTAGACAACCTGAACTTGATACGGCCTTGAAGGTGGCTTTGAACCCTCTGTGTGGTTTTCTACCCGCATAATCCGGGTCAGAGTAGAACTGAACCCGCATATAACGATTACGGTGACTTGAACGAACGTTTTCGGGAATTGTAGTTCCACAGTATCTTCCCAAATATGTGCCAGAAAATGGCAATCCATCTTCAACTTCTACATAATCTCTGCAACCAGGATCCAACTGAAATCTCTCGAATATGAGTTCAACGCGTTGTCCCTCGGGTACAGTGATGAGCCACTCACAAAATAAACCCGGTGGGTAATAAGTCAACGGACTCTCTAGAACCCCTTCTGATCCGGTCAACTTCAAATCCTGGTTGTGGTCGTTATCCGGGTAACACAACTCGTAGGAATTTACAGCTTTAGTTTTCGCTACGGAGTCAAATAAGGGAAAACAATCTTTAAGAAATTCCTTGAGGTGATCCCAAGGGGTAAGGAGTGGGGAGTTGGCTACGGAGAGATTCAGGTGCGGTTGTTCCACCGAGCCTATCAAAATCTGACAAGAAAATGTAAATGTTTATGGCATGATGGCGGCTACAAGACATCGGAAAGCCATGCTTGACAAAATGAGACACCATTTTTAGAACATGATTTAACAAGTTGTGAATGCCTTACGTGAAGATCATCACAAGTTCGAAACCAGTTGAAATTGTGTCAGTTATCGCTCACTCTACCTGACTTTTAAGTTATCACTCAGAAGTTACATAGCATAAAAAATCACAACCAAATTCAATGGTCACAAAAATATCTCCAAATTTCATCGGTCTTCCCTCGTTATGCCCTGCTATTGGTCATGGAATATGGCGCCTTTATCTAAACCAATCAGATGCAAAAGTAATGCCCAAGCTTGAGGTCGTTTACACAAGAATATATCGTTGACAAAGTATTTTTACTTTTACGTTGTTTCTGATTTGCTTTTGTGACTAAATGTACTTTGGTCTTGCAATCAGGAAACCCGATCCACGCCTATCCAGCTGTCGTACCCAGATAGGTCGTTCTTCTCTCCTCGACAAACCCTTTCACGAGTACGTCGGATTTACATGTATGTCTGTCTATCTGTCCGTCTGTCAGTCGGTTAGTCAGTCAGTAAAAAAGAAAGTAAGTACGTATGTAAAATACTTTATTTTGATGGGGAAGTACATAACAGTTTTGTTTTATTCACTCTGTTTCACTTGTGCTGATAACCTCTGAGGTATTGTCAAATAACACCCTGACAAATCAGTCGTGATGAAGGACGCTTTCCATGTTTGTCTTGAAATTGCCTTCTCTACGACCCAATTGTAAAATGTCTTGAGACAAAATTTCTTTAGCTGACTGGAAATGAGGGATGTTACCAATGAGTGGCAAGGTGTTTAAGGGGAGACACCGACTTCCCCGAAAACGAAGAAATAGTAATGCTTTCACTTACTTGTTGGTTCATGAAGCGCTGTAAATGTTGCTTTGAATCCCCTGAAAGATGATCTGATTGGACCAGACCTGAAAAGAACCATCATGTAACGACCGGTAGAGGAGATGTTATCGGGGGTACCGGAACCGCACATTTTTCCTTCGCTCTTACCGTCGATGTAGTTTCCATCGACAACTTCTACATAATCTGCGTTACATCCTCCATCATGACGCATTTGAAAGGTGTCAAAGCTGAGTTTCACAAAATACCCTTCTGGTACAGTTATGAGCCAATTACAGCTGGAGTGAGAGAGATACCCTTCTCCTCCCTCTGGGCTTTGAAGAGTTCCACTGTAACCAGATAATTTCAGGTTGTTGTTGTAAATGTTGCCCGGAAAACATCTCTGCTCGGAACTTCCGGCTGGGAAGAAAGATGCATCACACAATTAAACCCACCATTTTTCAGGGAAGTGTTTGGCAGGTATCCGGTTAGATCGCTCCAACAAAAAGTTAGATCGCTCCATTAAATAAGTTGCTTCGCTATCAACATTAGGTACTTAGCTCCATGTTGTAATGTGAGGTATTACATAGCAATGATTTTTAAAGTTCATAGGTGATGATGTGTCTTGCGACGATTCGAGTACATTGTATTCACTCTGTCCTTCCGATTAGCCACCTATATATATAGGTGGCTAGATGTATAGCGATGATGGAATAAATGATCGTGGTTACACTTCGTGAGGCCGTTACATGAATCTTTATTTGTTCTTTCTGCGTAGCTCGGATTTATTTCAAGCGCGCGCGAGCGATATTAATCGATTGTTAAGTAAGATATACACGTCATTTAATGAATTATCAATTTAGATAGCTTAGTTTTGCTACCCTTATCTTAGTTTTCTATATGAAGCGAAGTAACTTATGTTGGGAGCGAAGTAAGTTATTTGATGGAGCGATCTAACTTTCGAGTGGAGCGATCTTACTTTCGAGTGGAGCGATCTAACTTTCGAGTGGAGTGATCTAACTAAGAGCAATCTAACCATGGTGCGATCTAACCGTAATTCGTTTGACAGGCTCTCTACAGAGTTTAAACCCTTTTGAGCTTTAACATACTCATATGAATACTAGGGCCCGACTGGCGACACAAAGGTGATAACGAAATATCATTTTTTTTGATAAAGTGGTACAGCGTCGTCAGCGATTCAAGTTAATCAACACATATTTGATAAATTCAAAGTAAAAAAGGGAATACAAAGATACTCTGGAAGCAGTCTTGGTCCAGGGCGATGGACTAAATTCAGGTATACTAGAAAACTTCGAAGCAACCAAGCGTAAAAAAAAATTCATATAAAATTATAAAATTTAACTGAAAGAAAGGTTCTATACCCCTACAAACTCAGCTACCTTATTAAACAATGTGTAATGGTTCTTACTAAGTAGGGACTCCTATGGGCAGTACAATAATTATCTTTCAAAAGATTTACTTGAGCCCACTATGGACTATATACTATGGACTATATCTTATTTTACCACTGACACACACGTACTGCTGCCTCTAAGTCTTCTTGAAATGAACAATCTTCCACAGTAGCTCTCTCTCCCTCTCGGTATAGCTTTCCAGACAGTCGGGCACTCCCAACGAGAACAACTACTACTACTACTGAACGACTGAGTCCTTAGATACATTTACAGGGTATTCTAGGACATTTCCAAAGCTTGCAACACAACTGTTTTGGAAGTCTTACATCATAACTACATAACCTAATATATTGTTCTCGAAAGTTCCATGGTATGGCAGTAGAAAGGTCATATATGCATGTAAGCGTGACTAGGCATTCTAGAAATTTCTAGAAACGCATTTTTCTAGTCACTATCCATAACACCTTACCGTGCTAGTTTGCAATTCGAGCAAAAGGGTCTTTAGGAACACAAAGTCTTGGAGATGTCATGATCAGTGGTACTAACATAGGAAACTTAACCTACCCCTACTCCAAGCCTTTTCCCTTTCATTTTCCAATGATAGCTAACTCTGAACTTACCTATTTAAACCCAAAGTTGATGTGGAAGGCGCACCTAAGCACCAGGCAAGCGAGGATCAGCGATAAATCCAACTTTGCTCTTACTTTTTCACAACAAATTAAATACATTGAACAAGCTAACGAAAAAGCTTTACGTCTTAAAAATCATTGGCCTGTTGATAAATAAAATCATAATGTACTTACGCGGATCCACAGTCTCAAAATGTGCTTTAAATCCAGTACTATACCAAGAGGCCAGACTAGAATGAAACTTTATCCGCATGTACCTCCCACTCGAATACACCGCTGACTCACTACTAAACAAGTTGTATCCGTGGTAAACAGCTACCTCTTCACTCGACGACTTACGCCCATCAAGTATTCGCACGTTGTCCTCCCGTTTAAGATCAAATTTATCAAATGTTAGCTTCACTCTTTTGTTAGCAGGAGCGGAAATCACCCAAATACAGGTGACATTTTTCGGATAAGGAGTAGGATAGAATGGGGAGAAGAGGGTACCAGAGGAACCAGTGAGGCGAATACGCTCAACATTCCCTTCTGACGATTGGCATGCTCCAAAGGCTTCCTCTGCAAATGAATGCAACAATAACAACGTTGCAGCTCGATCTCAGACATTCATTTGGAATCCTTGTTGATATTTATCAACCTCACCCTTCTTTATTCTGTTAGAGGTCTGTGGTGCTCCCCTCCAAGAAACAATTGATAAAGAGCTGACTGCTTCTATTATATATTTTTTCTTCTTCACCAAAATATGCAAGACATAGAAAAGTGACCCTTTTCACTGATCATGATTTTATGAATAATGCCATCAGACTTTCCCCTTATCCCTGCAGTACATTTTCAACACCTGTAAGGCTTCAACAGTCAAACCCCGGAAAGACAAACTCCGCAAACTTATGCAAAAGGAAAACTTAAACAATCCCGTCTCCTCACCCCTCCCCCCTCCCTAAGCCCCTTTGGCCTTAGGCCAACTGAGTTTCGGAGTAAACCCAAGAATGCCCAAATAACGTTACCTCTGACCACGGCTGAAAAGTTTAAACTAAAACTGCCTGCTTCCAATGAATATTTTTCTTTCACAGAAAAATCAACAAACATGTAACGTCCTGTGGAATAAATCACATCAGGATGGACCGTTCCGGTATATGATTTTCCAAGAAGCTTTGATGTTGAATTGATACCATCATGAAAAGTGAGTTTATCATAATATTTTTGCAGATTGAAGTAATCAAATGTAACTTTCAATACGTATGCTCCACCAGTGGAAAGATCATCTGGTGCTTTAAGTATCCATCTGCACCTCCATGGCAACAAACTGGCAGGAGCCAAAAGTGGATAGCCTGGACTCGTCAGTGTCTTCTCATCTGATACAGAAGCAGTAAGTGCTTCACCGTAGTAAGGACAAACTAAAAAGTACAAATACAACGAATGGTTTGAACCCAGGAGTAACACTCTGGGCGAGAGAAGTCCTGAGAGGGACCATTGTTGATAATACTAACTGACGTTTCAGAGTGCAATGCTGTAACCCAATGAATGAAAGTCTCTGGAAAGCTGGTTCACTAACTTAGAACAGAATCACTCGCCAAATGTCAACGACTACACCACAAACAAACTCAACAGAACGACCTAATATTACTTATAGAACGAAACTGACCAATCATATCAGCCTTACGCAATTTGAGTCTTACAGCCAATAAGACCACGGCAAAATCGATCAATCAGTTCACAAGAACCAGACTTATGAAACTCAACAGACAACAATTCTTCACTTGGTTCTAATGAGGGCTTCCACTACGGTGGTGAAATCTCTCTAGAGAGAGGAGAAAACCACCCGAACATCAGCATGAAAGTAGGGCAAATAAAAGGAATTTTCCCTTAAGAAAAAGATCTCGTTTAAGAAAAAAATAAGGTGCTTTGAGAAGAAAAATTCTTGACTCAATATTTTGATCTTGATAAAAAAAAAAACCAAAAAAACTGGCCTCCTTCATCCACAATGGCTTAATTTCCACGGTTGCACACTTGTTGACTTACTGAGTTTATTCTCTGCAGTGAAAGTAGCCTTAAACCCTTTGTGATAAGAGGAGGAGAAGAAATCTGATCTGAATCGCACCAGCATGTACCGACTTCTCGAGCGGATTATCCCTGGATTTGTCAGACCACACAACTTTCCACTACCCTTACTGTCACTTCTGTTCCCTTCAAGAACCTCTACATAATCACCATAGCAATACCATAAAGGCGAACCACCAGCCACATAATCCATATCAAATAGATCAAAGCTGAGTTTTACAATGTTCCCTTCTGGTACAGTAATGAACCAATCACAGCTCATTTCTGGGTAATATTGAAAGTGATAAGGATCTCTTGGACTCTCAAACGCTCCATTAAGGCCACTTAATTTGAGGTTGTTGTTGTTAGTGTTCCCTGGCATACATGTGTTGTTGGGACTTGCAGCTGTGAAGAGATCATGCACATTTCCTGTGAAGAACTTTATCTTTATAATGTGTTTTGTCCTTTTAAATTAGATCCACTTGAGATTTTGTGTATTTAAGGTCTTTTCAACTCAGGCATATGGGACCCATACAGTACCTTTACATACCAACAAGTTTCTATATCATCCCTTGAAGAAAAAATTAATAATATCAGTTTCTTCCTTCCCCCTTCAAGCATACATCTCCAATACTTTTGAAATTCAATGCTTGCAATCCATATCACAAAATGACTTGAAGAAGCTTAGGGCAAAACTGAAAAACTCAAAAACCTAACAGGATGGTACAAAAACTCTATCATAATAATTTTTCATTTGACAGACTCAACAGTAAATATGACCATACTATCACAGTGAAAATTAAAGAACAGGCAACCCTGGACAAATAAACCCAAAAGACCTACTGCCTCCTGCACAACCAAAGAAGTTACAAAATAGCACTAACAAACCTACACAAACTCAGGCCTCAGCAGACCAGTTGCTGGTCATTAAAATAGGTCTAGAGCTCCTAACCTTTGTTCTAGAAAGACTAGCAGATTTCTGTTTTTATCTTATTCCTCTTACATCTAATAAGAGGTTAGAATGTAAAGAAGAGGGCATCCTTACAGAACCAGTGAGCTATAAACAAATCTTGAATTAAACACTCTCTTATATTCCATTATATTCATTACTATTCTTATCATTTATTCTCTGTTTTTAATATGAAGATACTCAGGCACTGACTGATATGTAAGGTAATAAGTATTATCAGTGGGGTTGATAACATAAATTGAACACCATAAAGAGTTTCAAAACTGACGTTTTGAGCATTAGCCCTCCATCAGGATGTTAGCCCTTCACTTCGAGGAATAGGTAACAATCAAAATGTCAGCTTTAAAACTCTTTACCATGGCCAATTTATGTTATCAACTCAGATGATACCATGTTAAACTCTCCCACCAACCCAGCACCACAGTTTCTTTAGAAACTTATCCCCTTTATTCATGGACTGATATGTATCCTATAGTGCTGATACCAGAGTTCCACTTATTCATCACAGCTTTACTAGAAAATGCAACAATCAAATGAATTTAATTAATGTCACTTACTAGTATTTTGTGCAAATGTAGTCTTGATTGCTGCCCATGATAACAAAAACAGACCTGAATAGGTATGAAATAGAAATGCACTTTTAATCAGCAGCAACTAAAGAACAACTCTGCGATTAGATTGGCTACCAATATAGAACATACACTGTATGAACACATTAAATGCAATCAAGTTTTTGTTTCATTTTTACCCATTTAACAGACTAAGTATTTGTTATTCATTTTAAAGAGGATTCATTTGATAACAGAGTCTGCCTAAGTAGCATGGACACAAGGGCATATATAGCTGACACTCCTAACTCTCAATTTTTTTTAAATAAAAAACCAACAAACATCAGAACTCTGATCATAGAGCCCTTGTTGCCATGGAAATTGCATCTTGTTCCCAACAAAGTTAAGTCATGATAATGGGATGGTCAATAAAATTTATTTGCAAAATAAGGAAATAACATAATTATTATTTTGTTTATGCACAAAAGTAGGGTATAAAATGGAGTTGGTCAAAAACTAAACAGGCTTATCAGTCATATACTTGTAAATACTATGCATACAGTTGAACCTGAATAAAGCAGCACTGTATTAAGCAGTCACCCAATATTAAGTGGTCGGTAGTCAAAGTCCCAGAATTCTTTTCCATAAAACACCTCAATTTTCACCTCTAATAACTCTCTACCTCCCATGAGTGACTAAGAGAGAATTTCCCCTTACATCTGTACAATATCAAGCATAGAAGTGATCAGAATTAAATAAAATATAAATCAGGGGATTATTAGTTGATCCAATATCAAATTCTCCAAATTGACATCATAAGAATTGTAAAGCAAACCAGACAGCAAGGAGAATTACTAATGAGATCTTGGGAGTTAAAGGGTTAAACAGTCACTTCTATTAAGCAATCATAATCACCCTTAACTGAGTCCTAGCTGCTTGGCTGGATGTTCCCTTAAACCAGAACCAATCAAATAAAACTAAGAAAAAGCTTTTCAGTATATTTTGTCCATGTTTATCTCCAGAAATCAACGCCAGTAGTATTTGTGAGCAAGTTTCATACATCAAATGGTCACATGTGTCATAAAATGATGTTTTTTTACAATACCCCTATTCTGTAGAACCTGTATTAAATGGTCAACTTGCAGGAAGTGATCACCATGCCATACCCTGGGGGTGACTGCTAATACAGGTTTGACTTTAAAAGTAAATCACATAATTAGTAATTCATAGTAGAACTGTCAAGAATGAAAGTTGGGAACAGTCTTAAGTGACATAGGTAAATGATTTCCAAAACACTGTGCTTAGGAAAATTTTTTATGTAACGTGTTACAACAGGTGTCATTAAAGCATCAGCTGTTTAACCATAATGGAACACTGACATTCTACAAATTATTATATAATAAGCTCAGTTATGCACACTTTCTGATTGATTCTCTCCTATGATCTATTAGAGGACAGGCATATAGATGACATCATCATTAAAACTTTTTTTAATTCTTTGTTATATAAAACAAATAGATTCTAAGTTACCATGCGTCTGTTCAGTAATAGATCACAGCGGATGTCAAAATGTGGTAAGAAAATCAGTGACACACTCAGCTGCACTTCATGTGCCACTTTTTTGTTCTTACCACATTTTGACGTCATCTGTGATCTGTTACTGAACAGACACAGGGCAACTTGGAATCTATTTGTTAAATTAAGAGCAACTTAGGAATAATTAATCAATCAGGTGAAAGTAGTATAGGAAAATGGACTAAAAAAGCATTACTATTATAATGAGTGGGTACTTGAGAGCACTGGATATTGGACCTTGAAATACATGAACTAGCTGCTGAGAGTGTCAAATTAAATTTGCATTCTCAGCTGAACACTCCACATGCTAAGCATTGTAATAAACCATTATAGTGTACTTAAACAAGATCTGTCGAAAATTTTATTCCCTGTTTTCTTTAATGCAAGCCACAAGCCTAAACTGTGTACTAAGATGGTGCTGTTCTGTTTTCTCATATTGCATGCGATGAACGATGGCTTTCGATATCTAAATTCAAATTTTCTAGCCTTTCGAATATTCGAAAAGCTAGAAAATTTGAATTTCATTAATGAAGATCTGAAAATGCAGCTCACGTGAAATGATCAACATCGTTTTCTTTGATATTAAACAAGACCTATACGGCGACTCATTCTCGTAGACGAGTGTCGGTCGTTTCGCAAACGATTCGTTTCGCCAACGGCCGTTTCGCCAACGGCCGTTTCGCCAACGTCTCTGGTCAGTTCACAAACTTGTGGATGTCAGTTCGCAAACGTTTAGAAGTCAGTTTGCAAACGTTTTAAACATTTATATGGGAAGAAGTCAGTTCACACACTTTGTAGATGTGAGATGTCAAAGTTTGAGCTTACAAACTAACTCTCTAGCTTAAGTCATACAGTCTTGTGGTTGAATTTGCTCTATCACAGCGTTTGCGTGTTGCATGTACAGTAGCTGTAATCCGCAAATCAATCTACCGATATGAAACAGGAATTACTGTTGTTATGTTCTATCAGGAAGCTTTGCTCTTTGAGGGACGGTCCACTAACTACCAAGACACGGGATAAAAACTGTCCATTTAACTATGAAATATACTTTAGCGAGAAATAAGCGGTGAGATTTCACATCCAATAATTTACGCATACAACGTGTCAGTTATGTAGTATTCTGAATCATATAGTTAAACCCAGGTTGACATGTAATGTTTAAAACGTTTGCGAACTGACTTCTAAACGTTCGCGAACTGACTTCTACACGTTTGCGAATTG